ATCATCTTATTAACCTGCTCAAATTAAAGGTAAATACACTTAATTTAAGACATTTTTACTGATTTTGAGATCGTTTTTGCAGTGTATCTCAAAGCCTTACAGAGAAATCACATCTTAAGGCAAAATGTACATTTATTAAAAGCCACAGTAATTTATTTTTCATATCAGATATTTACTGAAGAGAATTAGAAGCAACAAAACAAAGAAAAACATCTAAATACAAAACACCTTGATTAGAAAGTTGAACCTTTTGTAAAATCAATTTCAATTTCAGTCCCCAGTTAAAACTTTAACATCTTTCAGAAATGTTGAGTCTTTTCCTAAAGCCTGTGTGGAAAACTCCATCTTAAAGAATGTTGTTACTAACCCACAGGATCAGTTTTTTTTGTGTATAACATTTCTCACTCTCTTCAAGGCTACATTAATGGAGTGCACAGAAAACACTGAACTTGCACACAGAAAGATCTTTCTCTAAATGATTGATAGCAAAATTCAAGGAAAAACGGGGATATCTGATCATATTTATGTGTCTCTAATTAGACGATTTAAATAAGGCTTTCATCTTCTAGAAGTCCATCTTTTATCAGCTGACAGCAATCAGATATAACAGGGGTTAGAGCTTTAAATCCACCTCATCTGTAATAATAAAACCTTTTTCAGGAACAGGGAAATAAATTATTATCGCAAAGAAATACAGGTGACAGGTGGAGCCAAGCAGCGTGGAGGACCAGCAGCAAACATGAGGATTTTAGGACTTGAGGATACTAACTCATTTGTAATTTATTTCAACCTAAGAATCTGGAGTGACACATTTATTTCAGTAGGCCATATCTGTTTATGAGTGTGTTTTTTATTAATTGGGGTAAAAAATGGATAGTAAAAAACATTGCAGAAATCATTAGAAGTTTCTTAAAGCAGTTATTATCTTTCAAATAAAAACAATTTGTAAAAACATAGAAATCTACATGCTATGTTCATAACACATACTGGCATGAACCACGGAAACAATATATGACATCTGTATAACTGACTATGAGCAGAACTGGTCTTCTGGTGGAGTTTTTGTTGTTTTCTAGTGTTGAAATGAACAAAATGCCTTTGGAACATATCTCTAATTTTGATCATACTTGTTTCTGTTTTTTAATCATTAATAAGTTCTGAAATCTAAGGTTACTTTTGCAGCAAGGACATATTCTTACCTTCGGAGCCTGATTCATCCAGCCGGCGAGCTTCTCACATCAGATCCATAAAGACACATAGAACTAGCATCTGCCATTAAAGGTTTTCCTTGGTCAGTAAAATATCAGGCCCTCTGACATAACTTATTTTGCGAATTTAGACGTTTGTTGTTCAAAGGAGTTTGATGATGAATCCTCATATCCAAACAGGCTGCGTTCGATCAGACCCTCTCAGTTGAAGCTACTGTTAGTTTTACAGCTCCCTTCCAGGCAGCACTAATTCTCTTTACTCCAGAAAAGTAGTGCAAACTGATGTCCTATGTTACAGTGTTCCTATAACTAAGCGGCAATGCTCCATTTTACCAGAAAAACTCTGTTTTTGCTCTTCCTGCTGTCTACCTGAACTGTTTATGTTCGATGTTTCTACAATCAATGACTTTCCTCTTTCCCTCTTACAATCAACTTTTGACTCTCAAATTTTAACAAAGAAAAACACCCATTTTAGGTCACAATTGTATTTTATTAGGTCTTGAATTAGAATGGTGTGTAAATAATGCTCGAGTTTGCATTATCAATATGCTTTTCTTCCATTTTTTTTCATTTGACAGAAAAGTGTGTCACAGGCACTTTAAAATATTCCGTGACTTGTGATGATGCCCAATGCCCAATCAGTTACCAGCAGTCCCCTTTAGTTGCACTTTCAGTGCTACTTTGAACAGGTGAAACCACAAACAAACAGGTTCTAAAAAAAAAAGCTACAAATGTAAAAGCTATAAAAAGCTTTGACAGTCACTAGTAATGAAAAACAGGCATGAGTTGATCCAAGTTACAGAAAATATTTCATGCATTACATTAGAGACTGACATTTTTGGGGGGAACCCCACGGGTCACCGTGGGATTCCCGTGGGATGGGAGTCAGTATTAGTAACAATCACGTGATTGT